TTTACGTAAAAACTAGTTTTTCCCGAAACATCACGTAAATTACTGATCTTTGTTCCAAGGATTTTATGCCACTTAAAAACTGAATCAAACCTGTGGAAAGCGACTCTTCTCCTGCTTATCATTCATAAAGAATAAATGATATTTCTTCAACAGTTTTTGTCATCCTATTCTAATTTTTACATTGCATTGTAAGCTAACATCATCGTCACAGCAATCAGAAAGCACTGTCACAATAGAACTATAACATTTAGCTCAGTTATGTCAAACAGCTTACATGTTTGAACTTTAGCACTGAACCATTCTTTTTTCCCCATTGTATAATTGGTAAACCAATTTCTTTCTCATTGATTCACTTAATTAACCTCTTATTTTACTATTGCAATGAATATTCGGTGAGCGTACGGACAGAGCTATTTGCTAGTTCTAAAGTTTATTAATAAATCCCTGACAGCATTGGCATGAATTTGAATGGATGAGGTACGGAATGTTTGCAAATAATGATAAAATTTGAAGATTAATGATAAAAACATGCAAAAGGATTTTGTGATGATTTGTCCATTGCAGTTTTTGTTCGCTCAAAGTACTGAAAAATTACAATAACCTGAATGCACGATATTTTGTACACGTTTTATGTAAAAACTAAATTTTTCCCATCGCGTAAATTGCGAAATTTTGTTCCACGAAATTAATGCTGCTACTGTTTTCTCACATCGGCTAAAATCCACAAAGTGCTACCAAAATATCCACCGAATCTTCTACCTGACCACCATTTCCCTTTACTCCACCATTCTCGAAAGGGACCGCTTTGCTAAAAAACCCACGTCCAACCGTTCGAAGAAATAAATGAGATTGTTGCTTTCACAGCTGATTCCGGAGATAATTTATTCAATTCCGGATGACATTCCCTTTTATTTTGGATGAAATCACTTGTCCGATTGAATGAAAATATTAACATGGAATTCCGACCTATTTCCAAATTTCATTGCTTTCAAGCAATACCAACTAATCCGTTCGAATACTTGAATTGGAACACTTTCGTATCTGGAAAGGCCACTCTGAAATCATTCCATAAATCACTGAGATGATATGCTTAGTGGTATAAAAATAATCTGCTAGTCTAGAAAGCTAAATCCATCCTCTTACTAGTGGTAATTGATATGGTTTCAAATTCGCCATTTCATTCATTCCTACAAATTTAAAATTATTTAGCAAACAATATTTGAAATACTTATAAACTTGTAGATAAATGATAGAAGTCCATTCAAATCTTCTTCAATCAAAATAGAAATTTTTATTTAAATATTTTAAAATATAATTAATTCATCAATAAGATGAACAAAAGAGTTGTTCAATGAATGACCTTGAAAAGTTACCTGGAAATACCAGACTTTAAAAAGTTCATGAAGAAAATAATATCAGTCAGGAGCTACCATCAAGAATGACGAAAATTGTGAAAATATTACGAATAAATATATGGTTGCAAGCAAACGGTGGCAAAAAGTTAAATTTCAATACTATTTGCCTCCTCTGATACCTCTTTTTTTCTCTCATTGATAAATATGAAAATGGCAACTGCGAAACACTTATATTTTCTGCACCGTAATTTTTTAGTCATTTCAGCGTTACGTATTTCTAACTGGAAAAAAGTATAGAGCTATTTATCTGAAACGAGAAACAGCCATGCATGCATACTTTCAAATAAACTTACAATACCAACCATCCAATTACACCACTTCCGTAATTTCTATATTTTATGCCTTCGAGCATAAAGCATGCACGAACTGCTTCTTTCATGGCATTGTACGCTATAAGCATCAATTTTGTCACCCTGCCTTTTATCTTGCTTCCCTGAAATAAAGGCTATAATGTGCAAAGATGAATATTAATCTGATAGGCTTAGAAAATGGATGGAACAAAAAGTTCATTGTTTGAAAATACCTTGATGCTTTAACTTTGAGCGAGAAACGAGATCATCGACTTTTTTATAAATTGTTGTTTTCGAATCAAGAACGCGAATTTTACCTTAAAATTTACTATTAGTCCAAGAGTGACTAGAACGAACAATTTCCACTGCTTAACAAATACTTGAAAAATTGTAAAAAAAAGACTGAAACAATAATTTTTATTAAACAAGGTTGTTAAATACATATCCGCTAACATCACATTACAGAATGAGAGGACAGAAAACGTTGCGAACTGTATTACACAAAAACTTCAAGAAAAAAAATACGGAAACAACAAGAAAATGAAAGATTGAATTCAAAGTTATTCAGTTATTAAATTTAAGCACGCTCGAAAAAATTCGCTCCTCAAATCTCTTGATTTCGATGATAGCATTACAAATATAAAACGACCAAAAATTTCTCGACTTTTTCCTCAGAATCTTTGAATTCAGTTATTTTCTCATTAAAAGTTGTTTAAAAAAAAATTAAAATCCATTAATAATACCGAAAAAAGTATTAAAAACACTAAATAATGTAATCTGAGCAGAAAACACAATAAACTTCAAAAGTTTTTTATTCTTTTCCTCGGGAACAAAAATCGACGTTGTGCAGCTCCAACACTGCAATTTTCTGTGCAGCCGCGTGTTAAGGTGGTAGCAGGAGGTGATGCCCACAACGGGCACAAAAACCTGCAATAAACATAATTAAAGAATTGAATAATTCCCGATTATAGCTAAAAATTTCGTACAAAATACTTACCATCCTGCTTGTGCATTCTCGAGGCGTGAATGCGCCACCCTTTTAGTGTTGCGAACTGCTCGCTGCATATGTCACCACACTGAAAATAAAATTATTAGAAAATTTTACTGCACAAACTGTTGCTTAAATCAGTTTGTTCACCGATTCATAAAGAAAAAAATCTTTTGATTTTATCAGAATGATTATTAAAACTATTAATATCGATGTTACTTTTCTTCGGATCATCATGTATGGTTCTGCTCGCAGCATCTGCAACTTCTTCCGAAATTGCTCCGGAAGATCCCTCAAATCTGCTGGGTGGAATTCTTTCGATGTCGCTGCGGCCAGTGTTGCCTAGCAGCAAGAACCGGAATCGTCATCGTCCTCGGTCTTCTAAAACATACTTGAATTTAGTGTAAACTATTTAACCACTTCATCTAAAAAATAACAAACGAAGTAAATAGTTGTCCCAATTATTGTTTCGTTTTACATCTGTAGCAAAAATTCAAACTTACACCCGTCTCCATTGATATCACTGTATCTCTTCCCGTTTTCCGCATCCTGAATCATTCTGAAAAAGCCGCATTTTAATAATCGTATCTTAAACTTCAATTCCTTACTACAATCCTCATTTCTCAACAAAAAAATTTCTCACCAAAATTAATTTATAACAAAACACTTGTGGCAAAAATTCAAACTTACATTCGTTCCCATTGATATCTCTCTCGATTTCCCACGTCCTGTGGCAATAGGACGCGGAAAACAGGAGGCAATAGGACGCGGAGGATTCTTCTTCGAATTGAAGCTCCTGAGATATCGGTTCCTCC